TATCCCCCCACCACCCACCCCCCCCCCCCCCCCCCCCCCCCCCCCCCCCCCCCCCCCCCCCCCCCCCCCCCCCCCCCCCCCCCCACCCCCCCCCCCCCCCCCCCCCCCCCCCCCACCCCCCCCCCCCCCCCCCCCCCCCCCCCCCACCCCCCCCCCCCCCCCCCCCACCCCCCCCCCCCCCCCCCCCCCCCCCCCCCCCCCCACCCCCCCCCCCCCCCCCCCCCCCCCCACCCCCCCCCCCCCCCCCCCCCCCCCCCCCCCCCCCCCCCCCCCCCCCCCCCCCCCCCCCCCCCCCCACCCCCCCCCCCCCCCCCCCCCCCCCCCCCCCCCCCCCCCCCCCCCCCCCCCCCCCCCCCCCCCCCCCCCCCCCCCCCCCCCCCCCCCCCCCCCCCCCCCCCCCCCCCTCCCCCCCCCCCCCCCCCCCCCCCCCCCCCCCCCCCCCCCCCCCCCCCCCCCCCCCACCCCCCCCCCCCCCCCCCCCCCCCCCCCCCCCACCCCCCCCCCCCCCCCCCCCCCCCCCCCCCCCCCCCCCCCCCCCCCCCCCCCCCCCCCCCCCCCCCCCCCCCCCCCCCCCCCCCCCCCCCCCCCCCCCCCCCCCCCCCCCCCACCCCCCCCCCCCCCCCCCCCCCCCCCCCCCCCCCCCCCCCCCCCCCCCCCCCCCCCCCCCCCCCCCCCCCCCCCCCCCCCCCACCCCCCCCCCCCCCCCCCCCCCCCCCCCACCCCCCCCCCCCCCCCCCCCCCCCCCCCCCCCCCCCCCCCCACCCCCCCCCCCCCCCCCCCCCCCCCCCACCCCCCCCCCCCCCCCCCCCCCCCCCCCCCCCCCCCCCCCCCCCCCCCCCCCCCCCCCCCCCCCCCCCCCCCCCCCCCCCCCCCCCCCCCCCCCCCCCCCCCCCCCCCCCACCCCCCCCCCCCCCCCCCCCCCCCCCCCCCACCCCCCCCCCCCCCCCCCCCCCCCCCCCCCCCCCCCCCCCCCCCCCCCCCCCCCACCCCCCCCCCCCCCCCCCCCCCCCCCCCCCCCCCCCCCCACCCCCCCCCCCCCCCCCCCCCCCCCACCCCCCCCCCCCCCCCCCCCCCCCCCACCCCCCCCCCCCCCCCCCCCCCCCCCCCCCCCCCCCCCCCCACCCCCCCCCCCCCCCCCCCCCCCCCCCCCCCCCCCCCCCCCCCCCCCCCCCCCCCCCCCCCCCCCCCCCCCCCCCCCCCCCACCCCCCCCCCCCCCCCCCCCCCCCCCCCCCCCCCCCCCCCCCCCCCCCCCCCCCCCCCCCCCCCCCCCCCCCCCCCCCCCCCCCCCCCCCCCCCCCCCCCCCCCCCCCCCCCCCCCCCCCCCCCCCCCCCCCCCCCCCCCCCCCCCCCACCCCCCCCCCCCCCCCCCCCCCCCCCCCCCCCCCCCCCCCCACCCCCCCCCCCCCCCCCCCCCCCCCCCCCCCCCCCCCCCACCCCCCCCCCCCCCCCCCCCCCCCCCCCCCCCCCCCCCCCCCCCCCCCCCCCCCCCCCCCCCCCCCCCCCCCCCCCCCCCCCCCCCCCCCCCCCCCCCCCCCCCCCCCCCCCCCCCCCCCCCCCCCCCCCCCCCCCCCCCCCCCCCCCCCCCCCCCCCCCCCCCCCCCCCCCCCCCCCCCCCCCCACCCCCCCCCCCCCCCCCCCCCCCCCCCCCCCCCCCCCCCCCCCCCCCCCCCCCCCCCCCCCCCCCCCCCCACCCCCCCCCCCCCCCCCCCCCCCCCCCCCCCCCCCCCCCCCCCCCCCCCCCCCCCCCACCCCCCCCCCCCCCCCCCCCCCCCCCCCCCCCCCCCCCCCCCCCCCCCCCCCCCCCACCCCCCCCCCCCCCCCCCCCCCCCCCCCCCCCCCCCCCCCCCCCCCCCCCCCCCCCCCCCCCCCCCCCCCCCCCCCCCCCCCCCCCCCCCCCCCCCCCCCCCCCCCCCCC